GTGGTAGAGTAATGCCTGAAACTTGAGCTATGCTGCATGATGTAATTTTGATTGTTTGATTTCAAACAGAAAGTTGTGGGTTTACATACTTGTTTAATGTTTTTTTCCATTATTACATAGAAAAGGAGCTGAATTGAGAAATATACACAAAGTGACGTCTGTGTTGTGCTCAAGAGATAAAGATGTTTTTGGATTAAGAGTTTCCTGGGGACCACATTTTGATAAGTGCTCTACTATGAGAACTGAATTCCATAGATGGGGGCATCTACAGGTGTCATCTATGGGCTTAGTTCTTTTGGTACGGTACTGGTTTGTCAGCCTAACTGCACAGCACGGATTGTTGACTTAATTGTTCATAATATTACTATCTGTTAGTTCATTTGTCAACGTTCATGCTAATCATGTTGTATGTTGTCAATAAAGTTAATCAAAATTATTTATTTCCTTTGTAATTTATTAACCCTCACATTTTATTCGGAATGTTGCTACATTAACATTGCAGCAGGAAATACAAGCTACCATGCTACATACTGAATCCACATGCATGTCTCATCTTTATGTAGTGTCATAACATCCGTAGCCAGGGTGCCGGAAGGTTGCTGGGTTATCTATAAACAATATATAATCAAATATGAAAATCATCATCCTTTCCAATTACAACATAATGGTAATCTGGCAAAATTCCAACATACATCTACTTTTAAACGTTATTATACAGACTTTTATGAGAATATAACTCCTGTATCCTGTACCTGTAACACCACAGGTAAAAAGTCATTTGTGCAATGTACCCAGGACACTCCTGTCACCCTTTGTTAGCTCTACAACTGGATTACACTCTTTCCAATCTCCCCTAAGACTGTTTTCCCTCAGTCCAAACCCTGTTCTGGGACTGCAGCCATAATGGTTTAGGTGGAAATTAAGCCACGAGGACAAAGGTGCTGTGGCTGCTCAGTTAATACACATCTACCACATGGGTTAAAGAATAGCACAGGAGGAGGCCCATAGTGGTTAAATTCTTCACCATCATGGTTGAATGCTAATTATTTGGTGATAGCCAAAAAAGTATTGAACTTTTCCCCTATTCTAGTATATAACAAATTAATATGTGTAAGAAAATCAAGTTATGAAGACACCCTGATGTCTGACAGGCAGGATTGAATTATCCTTTCAATGCACAAAACCATAGGATAATAAAAAAAGGCTGTGTTTACATGTTGTTGCTCTACTTATGAAAGATATCATGCAATGCCATGTTATCTCTTATCAGGGAAGTAATGATTAAAAAAACAACTTCAAGTTCCTTACCTTTTTAAATCTCATGATAAGGGTCTGTTGACACATATTTCCATTTGTCCATAATAAACATATTTAATTGAACAAATTGATATTGATTCTTTGAAAACACTGTGGGATAATAAATAATAAATCCTCATTATGTTTGATGAATATCCTCAAATGTCAACATTAAAGATGTTCCAATGTGTTCCAATAATTAAGTAACTCATAATGTTACATAATGTTACATTGATTCTCAGGCAGATTTTGATTACAATCTTTCACTCTATATGAAATGTTATTCACTTTATGTGGAGGTTGGGCCCTTGTAACACATTTTACTTTTGATGATATGTTTACTTTCAACTTGCAACACTAATAGTTGTTCACACATTCATTAGAACACAAATTTATGAAAAGATGACAATATGACAAAATAACTACTTGATAGAAAAGCTACAAAAATATCATTTTGATTGCAGTGGTAGAAAGTAACTAGATTTAAGTAATTAATTTATGTAAGTACAGTTTGGGGGAACTTCACTGTGCTTGACTTTTAATTTCCTGGTTCATCAGATTTACAAAAAACTATGACAGACTTTTACAGATTTAACAAAGTAGTTTAAAATTGTTCCACCTCAAACAAATAAAACATTAAAACCACACCTGAATTAATATAAATATTATATATATTTATATATATAAAGGACAATTTGAAAAGTGAAGAATACTTAAGATAGGCCACGTATACTACACGTGCTGGTAA